GTGGCCGCTGCTGTAGGAGGCTGGACCGGGTGGAGAGCCCTGCAGCATAGCAGGAGGAGTGGAGGCTGGAGCGACGCTGGACCACTGCCACATCCTGCCTGCAGGGGGCAACAGAGACAGGACTGCTCTGTTTGTGGCACTTCAAAATTGGGGGTTACCTTGGACTTTGGGAACCTGTGTCTGATGATGCTTTACAGATACAATGACTAATGACTAGGTCTTTGGAAACACACATGAGAAAAGGTTCGCTGGACCTTGTGTGACTACTATGCTTTTCTCTTCTGTACTCAGATGTACTCTGGAATGTTTTGAAATTCTGTATCATATGTTAATTTTTGCTTTGGCTCTCGTGTGAAGATTTTTACTGTCCTAACCAACTGAGATACATTTTCACACGTCAAAACCAGCTCACATTACAGAATTACATTCAGACCTGTCCACATAAAAATATTTTCTGTTTCATAATGCCAGTGCATTTCTACACCACAGGGATGGACTAGGTTCGCTGGGCTGCTGCTGACAAGCCCCCAGCTTCCTCCATCAGACACTGTGTTCTTTCTCTGGTGGCTTGCCACATTAAGCTTTACACTGCAAAAATAAAAGCCACTGAGTCTCACTGTGTGTGGCTTCTGATTCTATATGATCTCGATGAAACAGGGTGGTTACAGTGTAGCACACTCTTCTTTATGGATATGATTGTATCTTTTGTCTCTGCTACTTTTGTTTTCTGTTGAATATTTTACAGTGTTCAATAAAACTGAGTTTCAAGTGTGATAACTTTTTATGACGGAGGCCAGAGATCATTAATCCCCTGACACTATAAGATAATATGTGTCTTCAACCTAAAGTTCAGGTCTCAGGACTTTACCTGTGACGAGGGCCATCCAGGGTGCGTCTAGCCTTCTCCTTCCCACCTGGGGCTGCGGGCATGTTTTCAGACAACAGCCCCAGGTCCAGGTCCAGGGATCGCGGTAGGGGATCGAGGGCGATTCGAGGGGGACTGTGGTGGGCGTAGACAGACATGCTGGGGTGTTCAATCAGAAGGTTCTCCAGAGGGCTGGTCTCCAGGAGGATGGGTTGGCTGCCACGGCCGGTGAAGCAGGGCGGGGGGGTGACGAACCAGCTCTCCTCCAGAGAGCAGGCGTCCACACGCAGAAACCCACTCTCCTCCTCATCATCCTCTTCATCCTCCTCTGCACCACCATCTGGGTCAGTGTCAGCTGTGGAGTTGAGGGAGGTGCAGGAGGCGTAACGGATGGGGGGGCTGGCCACAGGGGAGGGGATCATCACCAATTCATCCTCCTCCTCTTCCTCTTCCTGGGGGTTGACAGTGGATCCAGAAAGTCCGTCGCCACGCTGACCGGAGCAGGCTTCAGCTGCAGAGACAGTTGTGCTTTTGTTAGTAAGAAGAAATTTAATACACAAAGGTATTTTTATTATAAAGCAGTTTAAATCCAATCCCACCTTTTACCTATTTCCCTCCGCTTCATGACAAGCAATGTCAAGGCACAATCTGTGCTTCTTAAAGGAATATTCCCCCCAGAATCTATCACTCACGTATTAAATACGTACATGTCTGTAACCCCTCCTTGCTGGAGGTGTAGAAATCTTGGATTCACAGCAGCTAAAACTGATTTACATGGAAACCCAGAGTCACAGCGAAGAAGTGCAGAAATATCACATTTAATATTGTTTAGTTAGGTTAGTGTCACCCCTGCAGTCTGCCAGGAGGAGGTGCTGAGGCTCATTTGTACAGCAGCTGCAGAGCTGTCAGATGTAATCATTCTGCCGATGCTCAGCAGTGTGAGCTGCAGCCTGAACAGCTCAGCATCACGTGTCCAACTGAAACCACAGACTGCACGCGGGCTTGTGCCGATGCAACTTT